TTTATAAATTATAAATATATTTTTACATTATTATTTATTATTGTTTATACAATTATTCTTAAGTTTACACAAACAGATTTTTGTAAGTTTCTTACTAAATGGATAATTACTGATGATAAGCCATTTACAACAACTGAGAATAATCATTTTCAAAATATGGTGAAGGTCTTGAATTCAGATGCATTAGTTCCTAAAGCAGATACTATTAAAAATGATATAGTGAAAAATTTTGAAGAGGAGCGAAAAAAAAGAGAAAATTTTGTTTTAGATAAATGGTTGTATATGTAAAAATAATTATAAATTCTTCTCAAACTTATATTTATAAATATTAATAGGTTATGGATTTTTAGCTATTACAATACATTGAATTTTAAAAATTGGAAATTTTGTGATAGTTTACTTGATTTTATAAAACTTTCTGGTCCTCATTCTGGTGAAAATATTTGTAATGCTTTTGTAAAAAGTTGTGATGATTTTGAAATTTTAAAAAAAGTAAATTTTCTATATATTTTGTTAATCTTTAATCTTTGAGAATGTATAATAATAAAATTATTTATTTATAATAGATTTTTGCAATTACAAGTGACAATGCCCCAAACAATAATACTTTTATGAAATATTTAGAAAATACTTGTCGAAATAAAAGTATTGATTTTGATGCTATTGGTAATCATTATCGTTGTATTGCTCATGTTATGAATTTAGCTGTACAGGATATTCTAGAACAAATAAAAGCAGGTGAAGCTAAAACTGAAGATATTATATTAGATTTGGAAATAACTAGTGGAGATGTAATTCCAAAGGTAATATTTTATATTTTATAATATATTATTAAATATTAATTGCTATTTTTAAAGTATATTAATTATTAATTTATTATATTTTAATTAGCTTCGCAAACTTATAGTTAAAGTACGATCATCACCACAATGTCAAGAACGATTTGTACGTCAAGCTGAAGCAGCTAAACTTAAAGAACTCTAACTTATTTTAGGCGTGAAAATAAGATGGAATTCTACACATGATATGCTTGAATGTGGACTGAAAATACGTGAGGTTAGAGTATATACTATTATTATATATTATTGATTTTTTTATATTTTAATGTTAAATTTTATTATATTATTGTTATAGGCATTAGATGCAATTGCAAGTTCAGATAAAGAACTTCGAAAATTTGAACTTAATGAAGACGAATGAAATAGAATTGAAGAGGTTGTATCTGTTTTAATGGTAAGCAAATTATTGATAATATTTTTAGGTTAAACTTTAAAGGTTTAATTATAGTAATTATAATTTATTTTTTATATTATATATAGACATTTGTAAATACAACTAGTGTAATGTCTTCTGCAAAATATCCAATGATTTCTTCAGCTGTACCATTATATAATTATTTAATTGACGAACTTGAGGAATATTGTGATGATCATAATAGTTCTAGTGAATAGTAATTGCTATAAAGTAGGTTTAGAAAAGTTAGAAAAATATTATACAAAAACAGATGATACAACTATTTTTATAGTTGCTACTGGTAAGTTAAATATTAAATTTACTTTATTATTCTTTAAATTGATAGTAATAAATAATTGAATTTTATAGTGCTTGATCCACGGCTAAAATTAGGTTATTATGAAGATCACAAATGGAAACAAAATTTTATTCGTATCGCCAAAGAAACAGTTGTTAATATTTATAATACTAAATATGGACCTCCTGAAAATCTAAGTAACGAAAATACTAATAATGAAAATAGTGATTTTTTTAACCATATGTTGGAAAACAGAAAAAAGGCCAACAAAATGAAGTGGATTTATATTTAAATGCACCTCGGGCTGAATCAAAGCAAGGTATTTTACTTTGGTGGAAGGTATAATACATATCTTATTAAATTATATAATTTCAATTTAATTAACATATATAGTTTTTCTAGGTAAATGAAGCAGTATATCCACACTTAGCCAAAATGGCTAGAGACTACATTGCAATCACAGGTAAAAGTTTTATATATAATATTATTAGTAAATTATTGAGTATTATCATTACATTAACTAATTAATTTGTTTTGATAATTAACAAAAGCAACAAGTGTTCCAGTAGAAAGAGCATTTTCTGGTGGAGCTGATTTGATAGATTTGATAGCTGCTAAAAGATGTAGTTTAAAAGCAAATACAATTAGTGCATGCATGTGCTTAAAATCCTGGCAGAAATAAAGTTTTATTAAATTTCTGTCAATATAAATATTTTATTTTTCAAGTTTAAATAAAGTTCATATTAACTGAATGTCAGTTCGCGATAGTTTTTAGTTGTGCGACCTACTTGACGATCATGATCATTGTCTTGTAGATCATTCTTTTTGCAATAAAACTTTTAATTGGAACGATTTAGAAATTGATAAAATATATTATAATTAACAAAAAAATTTAATAAAAACTCGAGTTTGATTCGGGTTAAACGAGTTAAATTATACTCGGGTCAAGTCGGGTTCAGGTTATAAAAATGTGTTAACCCGAATATTTACGGGTCTTTCCTTTTTTATTCGGTCGAGTCGAATATATTCTCTAAACCCGACCCGACTTGACCCGGTAGGAACACTAATTCAACAGTTAAGATAATGTGCGGAAACTTCTGTATTTTAGATTTTAAATTAATTTATTTATATGAACATAAGATATTTAATCTAATGCTTAAAGGGAAACGAAGTCTCCCACAGATCGCAACTTTTAGTTTCTTATAAAAACCTAAAATTTATAATTTTTATTTAATTTTACATTATTAAAAAACTTTACAAAATATATAAATTTAAATTTAAAACATTTATTTATACATTTATATATTATTGATTTATAAAAAAATCATATATTTAAAGTTGAAAATTTTGCATAAATTTAATATTTTAATTATTAAAAATGAAATTTATTTAAAAATAATAGATTTATAATGCCAAAAATTTTCGTTTGGAAGCAAGGTTTCGACGGGTAGTAAAATCATAAAAAAGCTTTAGATAGTAATTTTTCAATACCTCGAATTAGAATTACTTCTGGTATATTTAATACAACATTTTAGAAATCCGTAAATATTTTGAAAATTTAGAATTATGTCCGAATCTCCGAAAATAAATAATCTCATCTTCGTCATGCTTGATGTCCATAATGGTGGGTTACCATCAAATGTAAATATTTTTATTGCACTCGAAACTTCATTATAACATTGAAATGAAATTTGAAAAAAAATATTAGTGTCCGGGGCTTAATAATTCTTCGTTACGTTCTTACCTTCAAACATTCGCAAATTTATAATTTTTATTAAGTTTTTTAGTGAAAAAAATCAACTATTCTTTACCTACAAACGTGAGTTATTGGCAAATTTTGCTTAAAATAATGTATCTGGTTAGAAATACATTTAAAATTAATTCACATTGAAATCTGGTTATATTGATTGTATATGATAAAAAAATAATGTTTCAGGTCCAAATTTTCAAATAAATTAAAGCAATATTTTCTTTTAATTCCTTATTTTCTATAAGTAAATAGATTAACTTTACACTATTATCAGCGTTGTTAAAAATATGAAAGGAACAATATTTTGTTAAATTTTATTGTTATGTATACATTTGATTGGGAGGCGTAGTAAGATTGGGTAGGACTTCCCCTGCGTACCTATCAAAAAATGTCACGTCAGCCCGCATCAAGACTTTTGCAGGCCCATATGCATGATCATGCATGTTGCCGATCCTTAATGTCGGCCATTTCGTGACATTTTTTGATGGGTACGCAGGTGTAGTCGATTGGGTAGTCGATTATTCAACCTTTGTTCCCACATCAAATGATTTATTCCTGGTTCGTCAACTTAAAAACAATCAGCATAAATTTTTTAAAATAAAAAATAATTTTAAATATTTGTGAATTTATTTATTTCATTGAAAAGGCTAGAAACTTAAATCACTTTATTGGAATCAAATTTTTTATAAAATGATTTACATGCGAAAACAAATTAGCATGGTGCGGTTTATGTTTACGTACTAGCAAAAGATATATAATAATTCTATACCACCTATCACTTTACTTCGATTAATATGACTAATTAATTAATTAAATTAGAGAAATATGTAAAGTTTAATTATTGAAATCTATTTAACTAATTTATACCAAATTTATAAGGAAAACAACACTAATTACTGAAGTGATGGTACCAACAATAAATGTACCTCTTGAATTTGCCTTAGAAATATTACTCTGATCGCAACCCTGTTTGCCAATGGCAATAGTGTTAGAATTGTTACAGACGTTATTATTGACTTCGCTGGAAATATTGTGGTAGTTGTAGTTGGTGCTGTTGTAACTGGAGCTGTTGCCGTTATTGCCATGATTGTTATTGTTGTTGTTGTTGTTTCCGTTGTTGTTGTTGTTATTGTTTCCGTTGTTGTTGTTGTTGTTGTTTCCGTTGTTGTTGTTGTTGTTGTTTCCATTATTGTTGTCGTTGTTGTTTCCATTATTGTTACCATTATCATTATAAGTCTGTCTCTTGCTAGGAGTAGAATTTATTGATTCGATAACTTGGTCAAGGACACCACCATCTCTTTTGAATTTTATCTGATAAAAAATAAAAAATAAATTAGATTGTTATTTAAAAAGATTTATCATAATTTATCTAATTTTAAACTTACATCATCTCCAAACTTTTCATTAACCGTAGAACGCTTAAAATCTCGGTCATGGTTAATGTCGGAATTTTCTGCTTTACCATAATTAATGAAAAGCAGGGAAAAAAGAATATAGAGGTAGATTATTTCTGATTTTGATATCATATTGTATATAGCTTAATTCAATTTATTTTTGCTAAATTTCAAGGTTTTATTTTTATTTTTTTATTTTTTATTTTTTATTTTTTTTTTTTTTTTGAGAATTTGTCAAAATTAATGTCATTTTTATGGTTATTTATTCTCCAGGACGAATAATGAGATGAGATAAACAAAAATGTACGTGATGTTTCACCGAATTAATTACAAAGAAGAAAAATATTGTCACGGACGGAAATTGACAAAAATAGTAGTAATTCATGAAAATCTTTCTTGCTGAAATTGAAATTACAAAAATAGAAGAAAACTATCAAATTATTATTTTGATATAATTTTTTTTTATTGTGGGAATTTTTGAGAAAAAAAAAGCGAAAAAGGTGAAATAAGAATATTTTTCACGTGCTAATTCAAGAAATCGCAGAGTACAAATAAGGTTGGTTCTCGTTATTATTAATATTTGAAAAGTTTGTTTTTTGTATATAATTATTTTAGTTACACTACACTATATTTACAAAAGCCATCCTTAGCTTCAGATGATATAATCATCATTTATGTCGGGTCTGAATACAAAAATGAAGCTAATCATTTCATTGAAAAACTCCATTTGAACGGACCATTCCACAGCATCATCAAATGTTGTTAATGTTCCATCAAAAAACATACGGCAGATTTAATTAGATATTATGACTTTTGATGGATATTATATGAAATGCATTAAGAGAAGGTCTGGAATATGCTTTTTTTTTTAATTATACAGGGGATATTATCCAATCAGATGAAAAGACGAGACCAAAATTCAACTTATACATCATTCATATAAAAGATTTTCACTTTGTCCACAAATTTAAACCAGTTCGTTTAAAGCTTATATTTTATATCAGTAGGAGTTGTATCCGGAGCTTTTCTTATTGGGTGGGATTTATAGCTTATAGAATGGTATAAAAAAGGAAGCTTGTATTTGGAAAGAAAAATGATAATATTGATAATCAAATAATCCATAAGTACTAAATTTCAGTGAAAGTAAATTCTTTATATAAATATCACCGCGCGTTAAAAAACATTTTTTTTTCCCCGCGCTAAACTATCATAGAAATTTAAAGATTTTTTTTTAATCATTTATCAAAATTCATAAAATTTATTTATTATATTATTTGAAATTTTGACGCCGTCATTTATTTCACCAACAAAAAAAATTTTCACAAAATTCACACCACAACACCGATAATTATATATAATTTATTTATTCAAAACACCCCGTTTAACAAAAGAAATAACGATCGATGATCTTACCATTTAAGGGATAGGATATAAATTTGCTACATATATGGGCTGAGCTGAGTTTTTATGAAAAAGCAAATTACATTAACTAAAACCGTATTTTTTTTTTTTTAAGAATTTTTTTTTTTGAAAGAAAACATCATTAATAAATTAATAACAGTCCTCTTCAGAGAATGAAGAAATTTATCGTTAAAGAATGGGCTGAGCTTATTTCAGACCCGATTAACTTTAAAGAAGAAACTCAACAAGTCTTTGAGCATGCTGACTTGCCCATCGTGAAAGGTGAGCTATCATTGACATTACGACTAAAGCTTCATAGTCATGCTACTTCTCATTGGCCTATTATTTTTTGCAAAGGTAGGACTAATTTTTTTTTCTTAGAAACTTTATTCCTCGGTTTCAAAACATTTATACACAACATTTAGGTACCGAAGGATCATGCCGTACGCCTAGACTTGAGTTGACACCAAACAAATCCTCACTGCACGTTCGTTTCTCAGGAAACTGGTGTGAAAACGTAGGAATTAACGAAGTCGGCGACGGACTTTTGTTAGATAAATGGTACCATCTAGCTTATACAATTTCTGATTCGGAGAAAAGATTAGACTTTTACATAGACGGTGAATGGGTAGGATTCGATTGCATTCCGGACGTTAGAACGGGAAAAGTTGTCTTCAATGACGGTCCGTTATATATCGGTCGATCTTTCCATAAAGGATTTGATGGCGATGTTAGGTATTTCCTCATAGTTTATAAATTTAACTAAATCTCAAAAATATTGAATATCCTTTTGTTAAATAGCAATGTTCGTTATTTCAACTGGCGTTTATGTGCCGAAGAAGTCAAGGAAGATTCTTTAGTAATTTTATTTTAGAGTATCGCATCATGAACATTTAAGACATCACACACACTGACAAATTTATTCGAATAATATTTCAGAATACTCGAATTACATATGGTTCGAAGGTAGCTCTTGTTCATGAACCCACTGGAAAATATTTATCTACTAAAGGAATTAAATATGACTGTGGTAGATTCGGACAACATATGGTATTTATACCACTATTTTTTTTTCTTTGTTGTGTTATATAACATGAATATTTATTCATAACTTAAAAAGGTCGTTGGTACTGGTCGAAAAATAGATTTAAACAATGATGTTTTTACGGTTATTGAAGCTAATGGTACAAGTGTAAGCGTGGGAAGCCCCTTGCTCTTTAATAATATTGTTGGATTTAAGCATCAAGCGACAGGAGGAATTTTACATTCTCATGGCTTGAATTTTGGGAGCACGCCACTAATGAGGCATCAACAGGGTATGTTTGTGAGATTATATTATATTTGCAAACATTTCGTATATTAAGTTTATTGTAATAATATTTAGTGACCCTCCGACAAGGTAGAAATGGTGACGATGACTGGCTCATTCGACGTTATAATTCAGCTATTTCTAAAGATGACTCGGTTTATGTGTGCAATAATGATATAATCTGCCTAATCCATTTCAAATCTGATAAGCCAGCACTTTATAGTCATCCCATATTATTTGGTGATGGATCACAAGAAGTTTCTTGTCATGGAAATGGAAATGACGATAATAATAAGGTAAATACTATATTCAAAATGTAACATGCTCATTTATTGTATATACTCTGAATGAAATATTGTAATCCTTTTTTAGTGGCGTATTGAATTAATTGATGATTCGAAATTATAATAAGTTTTTCGCAATTTCATTCTTAAGTAATTATGATTGCTCAATCCTAAATTTGTTTCACATATCGGAAGATTATTTAAGCTCTTGGCACATTTATTTATGCGAACAAAAATAAATAGATTTTTTCCACAAAAATAGCATTTACTGTATTCTGCAAAATGCAGTAAAGGCCACACCCTTTAATATAATTCTCTAAAAATAAAATATATTTGATATAAATTATCGTAATTTCTACGGAATTTAATGTACCACGTAATTTATTAATAAATTTTGTGAAAGATTAATTTTATCGAGTTTACAGCAATCTGATTTTTCTCATGAAAATCTTTTCGAAAAAAAAAATAACTTTACACATTGTAATTAAAGATAATATAATCGATAAGCAATTGGACAGCGTACTGCGCGAAAACAGTTTCGCCCAATTTGATCTTTCCAAATTAAGGTTTCTGAATATGAGGCGAAACTGAAAGTTCACTGGGCAATAAGTTTCGGATTTAAGAAAATGGTATCGCCCGAAACTCTACTCAGAATCCATTCCATTGCTATAAGCTGTAGGGCTATCTTTGGAGTTTTAAGCGTCTGAAACCTAATATCTAAAGAAGGGCTGGAAGATCATTACAACAATTCCCGAAATAAAGGAAAATCACGAACTGCAACGTGTTTAGCGAAAAATTGTGTTAATGATCCAGAATTAAAAAAAGGTTGGCTATTAATATTTCATTACACTACAAAAGAGATCGAAACCGGCCTATTAAATTTCAATTCAATCCGGCATTATAAATTTTTGGGGAGTCAGCGAAATCATAAAAACATAATTCTGGCCCAAATTAAACTTGGCACGGAGTTATATTAACTATTTTAATCGGTTAAAGAAAAGCTTTGACTGGACAAGTTAACAAGTTATCCGTCATAATCGGTTAATTTACTGGTTAAAAATTAACGGATTCCATCTCTAGACAATTATCTAAAGTTCAATGCAGTAGAAGACTAATTGATCCTTGTGGAAAACATTGCATAATCAATTCTCATGTTGTTATTAGAGGTTGGAACCGGTTAAGACGTTAATCTTGTTAACCGGTTAAAGATTTTTTTTAACCGGTTAAAATAACTAATGTTAACTCTGGCCGAAATTTAATTTTCTGGCAGAATTAAAATATTTTTGCAATTACAAAATTTGCTAGTTTTGCCCAAATTTATAGTGCCGGCCTGAGTTAAATTTAACCGGTTTATTAACCGGTTAAAGAAAATTTTTAATCTGTTATTAACCGGTTAAGGATTTTTGGGCCGGTTCCAATCTCTAGCTGTTATTAGTTTTGTTTGCTGAATTGATTTTACTTTAGGTTAACTTAATAAAAGCAAATAAATTCATCAATGCAAGTTGTTGCGAAACAGACAGATTATGACAATAAGCAACACATAATACATTTATGATATTCCCTTCCCTCTCAAGTATCACTTCTAAAGTAATCTGCTATTGATCAGTAGAGTTGTTAAGATTATTTTGGACCTTTCGCTGGGCGAACGTTCACATAAACTAACTAAGAACCTCCAAATGTAAATAACTCAGTTCACTAGAATGCTAAAAAGATAGACGAAAACCATAAAAGGAAAGAATTTTTAATTTGGATGATTTTCAGCAAAGAACAAAAATTCCAAGAATACTTGAAAGCCTTTTTTTAATTATCGGATCTATGAGGATTATTTTCTTGTTAGATTTTAATGCAAACATAAATTTTTTTTTATCGTTTGATAATTATTAATGAATAATGTGCTAAAGCATGTGGGTCATTAATTCATTTTATTTACTAATGATAAAAATCCGATCGTTAACCATTTTAATTCTGAATAATAATATAAATTTTTAAAATAATTTTTCCTCCTTACCAATATAATTGTTACATTCAAGTTAAGGTCCGAACATAAAACTCCATTTATTCAATAGCTAAAATAATGGTTTTATAACAAAGCGTCACCTTCCTTTTTTATCAATCACATTAGTTTCGCATAAATAAACTTTTAATTCACATATAATGATCTTTACTATTGATATTTACGTTCTGCATCAACGTTGTTATGTTTACCTTCATTATATGGGCTTCGTCTATCATCAAATATCATAATCTATAAATTCTAAAATTCGTCTTCTAAATTTCAGTACAATAACGTCCATTTCAGCAACCTTGCAATAATTCTAGAACTATAATATACCACAACAAATTCTCTATCATAAATTTTACTGTACATGTTTATAATTTATGACCAATTTTCGCGAAAATAAACGTCCTGACAAATCGAAATTGACAAATTCCGAAGTTTTCTTAAAAAGGCTAAGGTCATTTAATTAACTTTTTTTATGAGCTGTATTACAAGTAAATATGTAAAATATGACCAATCTGTCATATGTAGTTTATATAACATTAACACAAGATTATTAAATCGTTAAATTATACTCCCAAACAAACCATTCTAACGCTCTTACAATTTCTCATTTTGCGCCTTCATTTTTGGTATGGTTCCTTAATTCACCAATGCAAAACCAGACCCATTTGTTGTAAGCTATAAAATATTGCTGTTAAAGAAAATCGGTATTGTCACCTTTTTAAGTCTGTGTAATGTTTTGATAGAGATCATATCTCTTGTTTGATTTATTTTATTGCAATTGCATTGAGTTTATAATTTCCAAGAACCAAGCGTTATCTGAACTTTATTGAGAATTATTTATAGAGAATCATGCTGTGTTTAGTCTTTAAAGATTTCAATATATAGAAATTAAATAATTCGTAAAAGTTGTAATGCACAATTTGTTAAACAAAAAATTTTAATCTAAAAATACGATTTAAAAGTATTTAAAGGCGGTAAACTTTGAATCTAAATATAAATAAATCAGTTATTTTGAAAAGTTGTCATAATATCTAAAAACCATTATATTATTCGACTATTAAATGACATTATGAAGATACAGAAAATACTGTGCAATCATGAAAAAATATGAGCAAAGTTTTTTGTATTACGCGTAATCGAATCAGAGTTACTTTTTCTTTTTATTGAAGTTTCAATCAGTTCAATGTTTTCAATGTTTTTAGAACTAAAGAAAATCATTGAAATATTGAAATTGAACTTGAAATATAAAAAAAAATTTTAATCATGAAAAAGAAAATTTTGATTAAAAAAATTATTATTTTTTTCAGGAAGAACATGATTAGACCATTAAATTTTCAATAATTTAAATCCTCCAATCCTCCCTTTCAGTTGGAGCATCAAGTCATGATTATAAATATTATATTTTTTTATAATATCCATGCGGCCATAATATTTAATTCCTATTCGTTATAGTTTGCATTATTTTTTTTATATTGATCGAAAGTCTAAGTTCTGATGTCTTTACCACATGAGTTTATCACGTAATGGAAGTGTAGTACATTTAATAAATAATCACTTTCACGTGATATTAGTAATACTTCAAAATGATTTGATGTTTGGCGATTTCGAAATAATAATGATAACATTTATTTTTTTTTTTTTTGTGAGAGTCCTCTCGGTGTTATATATAAATTTTGACAAATGCCCATTCTAAAATCGGATATGAGTCCTATGTAATGTTAATAATAAATGTATATTTTTTTTAAATTTAAAAAATTAAAAAAAAATCACTAAAATACTACCGCAAGCCTGGATCGATCGGATCGGAGGCGAAGGGAAAAGATCGGTATTTTTTTTATAAAATAATTAAATCAATATTTATTACTTACCTCACTTAATTCCTATTTGTAGGTGCCGGCAATAATTTGGATCGATCGAATCGGATTATGTATATAAATAATTAGAATCGAGAATGTTCTAAAGTTTTTTTTTTTGTTAAAAAAAAAATTAAAAAAATTAAACTCGCACTCGCATATAAATCAAGCTATCATCATCAACAATCAAATTCTTGCTAATAGGATTACACAACAATGTGGATTCACCAACCGCATGGGATATTGAAGATGAACATAATCTTTTAAAATTTAATTCAGACAAGCTTATAGTGACTTATACAAGTGAGTTCATTTTGTATATGTATATCTAATATATTTTACTGTTTTCGTATGGAATCACTTATTCTTGCATAATCTCAATTTTTTCAAATATAAAGGAAAAAGGAAAGGTCTGGGTGAAGATGAAAACTTCGCAATTCGAGCAAATTTTCCAATTCCTGAACAATGTGGATTATTTTATTTTGAAGTTGACATTATAGATAAAGGGGAAAATGGGTGTGTTTTAAAACTTTGGAATTTAGTTTTTTCTGTTATATATAAGTTGAGCATTTAAAAGTTGGCGATAATTCAATTTTTCAAATTCCTTCCATAGGAGGATTGGAATCGGGTTTTGCACAAAATCAGCTAGCCTAAATACATTGCCAGGTAATTTACCTTTTCTTTTTATGATCAACTAACTCGTTAAATGAATCAATTTTATACTATTATATTGTAGGCTGGGAAGATAGTTCGTGGGGATATCATGGTAATGATGGAAAGTTGTATTTTAAAAAATATGACCATCCATATGGACCAAAATTTATGACCGGTGATACTATCGGATGTTGTTTAAACTTTAAAAATAATACATCATTTTATACAAGAAACGGAGTGAATCTAGGTATATTACAAATTCTTGGTTATTTTAAATTAAAAAATAGAGACTTTAACATCTAGTTTTTATTTTAAGGAATTGCATTCCGAGATTTGAAAAATGCTTTGTATCCTTGTGTTGGAATGTTGTCACCAGGTGGATCTGTAGGAGCAAACTTTGGCTATAGAAAGTTCAAATATACAGGTATATTTATTTAGTTTCTTTTTTTCTTTACTTTATTAATAATAATTTTTTTTTAGTGATGAATGATGATGATATTGATGAATCTTTAAAGGAGAATTGGGCTGAAATTCTAAATCCATATAATGACAAATTAATAAGTCAACAGATTATTAGATTTGCAGATTTAAAACAATCATCAGGTGCTAAACACATACTAAAATACCGAGGAAAGCTTTATTTTGTTATAGGTGAATATGAACTAGCACTTTCCGATTTGATAAAGTTGCTGGAGTTTGAAGCAAATAATATATTTGCATTAAGATATCAAGGAGAAACTTTTTGTATGATGGAAAAATATGAGGAATCACTTGCAGATCTAAACAAATTACTAGAAATCAAAGCAAATGACGCATGGACGTTAAATGCTATTGAAGTAGTTAATAAGTTGAGTATATGTTAAGGATTAAATTTAATATTTCTTTTCTAATTAATTAATTATCAAATTTTCAGCAAAGATTTTAATGGTAATAGATTATTTATAGCAACATGAATTGTAATATACATTTATGTATTTGCTAATAATTCATTATTAATTAAATTTTTATTTTATATTAATATTATAGCTTGTAAGCTATTTATTTTTTAAATGTCTTAACTTATATATAATTAAATTAAACTTATTAATTAAAAAATATCTATATCATAGGGAGTAAGTTATCTATAATTTTTTATATAATTTTTTAAACATAGCTAATTTATTTTAAATGATATTTTTAGTTAGTAAGTTATTTTTATGAAGTACATTATATTTAATTATAATTTTTATAATAATTCATACCCTCTAAATTTTTATTTAAAAATTATAGAACGTAAGTTATATTTATTAATAAAATTAACTATAATTTTTAAAATATAAATTAAAAATACTAATATATTAATAATATTATAGAAAGTCAAGAATTTAAATTTTATTATAATAAAAAGTATAATTAATTAAAATAAAACTAAATAATTTTTATTTAAAAAAATCGTAAGTTATTTTTATTGATTATTAGTACTTAATTATACTTTATACTGTAATTTAAATTCAACTAAATTTTTAAATATATTATTAAGGGGGTAAGTTATTTATTTTTATTGATTATTAGTATTTAATTATACTTTTTGCTGTAATTTAAACTCAACTAATTTTTTTATTAAAAAAAAATAATTTAAAATTTTAGTTGGTAAGTTATTTTTATTGATTACTAGAAATTAATTATACTTTTTATTATAATTTAAACTCAACTAAATTTTTTATTTAAAAATAATTTAAAATTTTAGATTGTAAGTTATTTTTATTAATTATCAGTTTAATTATACTTTTTACTGTAACTTAACTCAACCAAATTTTTTATTTTAAAAAAATAATTTAAAATTTTAGATTGTAAGTTATTTTTATTAATTATCAGTATTTAATTATACCTTTTATTGTAATTTAAATTAAACTAAATTTTTTATTTATAAAATAATTAATAATTAATAATATAATAGATGGTAAATTATTTTCATTGATTATCAGTATTTAATTATACTTTTTACTGTAACTTAAATTCAACTAAATTTTTTATTTAAAAAAAAATTTTAGATTGTAAGTTATTTTTATTGATTATTAGTATTTAATTATACTTTTACTATAATTTAAATTTTTTATTAAATAAAATATAATAGATTGTAAGTTATTTTTATTGATTATCAGTATTTTATTATATTTTTTACTGTAATTTAAACTCAAATAAATTTTTTATTTAAAAAATAATTTAAAACTTTAGATAGTAAGTTATTTTTATTGATTATCAGTATTTATTTATACTTTTTATTATAATTTAAATTCAAATAATTTTTTATATAAAAAAATAATTTAAATTTAGATTGTAAGTTATTTTTATTATTATTAGTATTTTATTTAATTATACCTTTAATATAATTTAAACTCAACTAAATTTTTAAACATATTATTAAAGGGAGTAAGTTATTTTTATTAATTATTAATAATTTTACTTTAATATATAAATAATTTTTATTTTAAACATGTAATAAATTTGTAAAATTTATTAAATATAATTAAATTTAGTAAGTTTTATTTTAAAATTATAATAATAATATAATAATAACACTAATAATATAAATATTTATATAGAAAATCAGAAATATGCTTAAATTGTAACAAAAAAAATACTGGATTTAAATGGTGTAAAGAATGTATTTCTAAAATTTTTCAATTGAATTTTTCTAATTGGACTAGTAATAATAAATTTATTGATAAATTTATTCAAGAAATTCAATTGAATACTATAAATACAAAGCAAATATTAGAGTGGATTCCTTATAATAAATTAATAAATATTAAATATCTTGATAAAGGAGGATTTAGTACTATTTATAATGCTATTTGATTAGATGGATATATTGAATCTTATTCATATAATGATAAAAATTGAATTAGAAATAAAGAAACAGAAGTAACTCTTAAAAGTCTTGATAAATCTTCAAATTTGAATGAAGAATTTTTAGATGAGGTATGTAATTATTAATTATATTTAATTATATTTAATTTTAAATTATAAATTTAAACAAATTTTTATTATTTTAGTGGAAAAATCATTATAAATGTTTTAGTCAATTGGAAAAATATTCAGATGAAATTCTTATTCAATTATATGGATTTACTCAAGATCCAAATACATTAAATTATATGATAGTAATGAAATATGCAAAAAATAGTAATATAAGAAAAAATTTATTAAATATCGTTAAATATAAATGGATTATTAAATTATTCCAATTAAATAATATTATTAGTGGACTTTATGAAATACATCAAAAAAGTCTTATTCATTGTGATTTTCATCATGGCAATATTTTAAATTTAAGAGATAATATTTTATCTATTAGTGATTTAGGATTATGTAAACCAGTAGAATATTTTCAATCATCTAAAAATAATGATATTTATGGTGTTTTACCATTTATAGCACCTGAAGTTTTAAGAGGTCAACCTTATACTTTAGCTAGTGATATATATAGTTTTTCTACAATTATGTGGGAATTCATATCTGAAATTTCTCCATTTGATAATGAAGCTCATGACTTTCAACTTAGCTTAGATATTTGTAAAGGTAAACATCCTAAAATCATTAAAGATATTCCACAATGTTATATAAATTTAATGAAAAAATGTTGGGATATGGATCTATTAATAAGACCAACTACTTCATATATTAGAAAGATTATTGAAAATTGGATTAAAAATATTATTACTGAAGATTTTGATAAAAAATTAAAAAATGATATTTTAGATTTTTATAAAGCAGATAAGATATTCAAACAAATACAAAATAATAATGTTATTAATAATAAAATTACTATTAAATCACATCCACAAGCATATCATACTAGTCAATTACTTAATTTTACTAAAAGATTAAATGATATTTTAAATTTAAAAATTAGTTAAAGTATTGGATATTATTATTTATATTAAATTTATAAAATACTTAAATTTAATATTTTTTAAAAATTAATATATTTATTAAATTTATTAAAAACATTAAATTTTATAAATAATTTAACTATTTCAACTATTTCAACTATTTCATATATTAATATATTTTTATAAATTTTTAAAAAATTATTTTTTTTATTTATATTTTATAAATATTTATTTTGTAACACTATATTGTTAACGTGTAATTCTTGTGAACTACAACTGTTAGACGGGGTGTCCAAGTGTTATTTCTTTTTAATTGGCGCAGTAATCTCAAGGCTTTTACAAGT